TGGCGGTCAGTTTCAGCAGCGGCTGAATCTGTGTACCAGTTCCGACTTACATACAGATTCAACTTAAGAACAAACCTACAGTCCCTATCTTGTACGTAACCCGGGGACTGCCTGTACTATACCAGCAAAGCTGTTCTTTATCCAGTACACTGAGACCTCCACCATCACCACTCCCCAACTAAGTTAATACAGGTAAAAAGCATAGTTTGCTGCTCTAACTGCTTCATCAGTTGTACCAGTTCCGACTTACATACAGATTCAACTTAAGAACAAACCTACAGTCCCTATCTTGTACGTAACCCGGGGACTGCCTGTACTATACCAGCAAAGCTGTTCTTTATCCAGTACACTGAGACCTCCACCATCACCACTCCCCAACTAAGTTAATACAGGTAAAAAGCATAGTTTGCTGCTCTAACTGCTTCATCAGTAGGGGCTTTTGCAAGCACAGCTACATCAGCCTGAAACTACACACCTCTTCACACTATAGAGCTATGCTGGCAAAAGTCTATCAAGTAAATATAAGGAAATATTATTGTAAGGTTACTTTTAAAAACATTTTTCAATCCCCTGCCTGCTCAAACAGGCAATCTAACTATATAAAAGATACAGTGAAACAGACTGTACAAAAAGTGCTGTCAAATGCACTAGGTCAATTTAAAAAGGAAAGAACAGTATTTCTTCCTATAATCTCTGTCACTTCTTAGAACCTCTGGTGTTACTTGAAACAAACGTAGCAATTTTTTTAAACTGTGATGTTTAATCTGGTCTTTTTAATACCTCTAAGAATTTCTAATGCATCCATCACTGTGCTATCACTACACTGTAATAAAAAATATCAGAAAAGCTTCTTTACATCTAAAGGCTTGACAGAACACTATGTTCTGTTGAGACAGAGAACTATTTTTCCTAGTAATACATAGAAAACTCACCTCTTTTTTTTTTTTTTTTTTAAACTCCCTACTGTCAATACTCTAAACTCCTGTAATGTTTTAAGCATTATACAGGGTTCTTCATGTAGTCGTCTGCCATTTTTAGCTGGTTGCAAATTATCAGCTTTACACCTTCTTCCCAAATTGTTCAGCAACTGTCCAGGAGAATATCACTTGTTACAGCTTAACTGAATTCAGTGTAAATATTGTTAAACTTCAAGCACACAGAAAAATGTGCCTCTGAAGATGAAGAGCCAATTATTTCACCAGAGCAAGAGCAGCAACTAAAAATCTAACCAAGAAACCTAGCTGTGACAAAAAAGACTGAAAAACAAACACAGATACAAGTTGTGACACTAAATTTGAGTGGCTTAGCCAAACATTTATAATTCCAAATAATACACTCACCTTCTGCTTTTGAGCTGCTCGATTTTTTTCATCAGAGATCTTTTCCGTTGTACTTTTGAGTGGACGTGTGGCAAGCCGAAGAGGCATTTTGGAGTAAGTGGTAGTGGTGATGGGGATTTGCATGAGATTAGGTATAGTTTTGGCTACAGAAATGGTCTCAATAACTCGCAGGTTTGGACGTGTGGGGTTTGCTGGCATTGCCATTGCGAGAAGCCCATGAGCCCCTGGCAGTGCAGGGTTAGGCTGCTGGGCAGGAGGGTATATGGACCAGCCAGAAGCTGCATAAGCCATATACTGCCCATAGGCATCATAACCGTGAGGAGTAAGTCTTGCAGGTTGATAGTTTTGTGGTAACTGAGCTGCAGTGAATTGTGGATAGTTGGGAATTTGGTACTGGGAAACAGAAGTGGGGGTACGGTGCAAACTGGCAGGAGCAGGCGGCGCTGAAGGAATTAGAGACACAGTAGGAACAGACTGTTTTGGTGGGCAAGCAGGTATCTCCTCACCCACAGCTTTGCTTTTGGAGTACTCTGATTTCAGGAGAGAGGGTATCTCTTTGGATGGCTGGAAAGAGCCAGGAGGAGATGCAGAGCGCTGCTGGTTTGACTCTGGAGAACGAGTGTCGCTACGGCTGCGGCGCGTCTCCCAAGATTCCAGTCTACGGGAATCTGAAGAGCGACGATCAGGAGAACGAGACGCCAGCTTTTTGCCATGGAGGCGTTCCTGTGTGCGGACAGCTAGTTTACCTATTTCAGCCACCCCAATGTCAAGCCCAATGGTTTTGAGCAAGTCATGAATCTTTGCATATTCTGCATTGGACTCTTCCACAGAATCTAGCTTCACAGCTGGAGAGGGAGAGGGACTCGCTTTCCGGCTTTTAACTTCACTCCCACAACTCACTGGAGGCTTTTGAACAGAGGAAGATTCAGTTTTTGAGTCTTCTTCATCATCACCATAAAGAAATTTTTCTTCATCCTCAATGTCAGGAAAGCTTCGCCTTCTCTTTTCTTGAGCACTGGCAGAATCAGCCATCATGCCCAGAATGCAAGAGAAGCCACTGCCATCCTGACTAGCCCTCTCATGAGGGAGCAGGAAGTCAGAATGACGGTCTGCAGGGTCCGATTTTGGTTCCAACTTCTCCTTGTGACTTAAGAAGTTCCCAAGCTTCTCTTGAAATGTAAAGTTGTCACTGGGAAGCCCAGAACGTGAACTCCATTCACATGCACCATCATGTAACTCCTTGTTTGCTGACTCCACAGCGTCTGTGTTAAACCGCTTGAGAAAATTCTCCACCTCAGAGGTAAAAGGAGTGCTGCTGCTGGTCTGAGACAAAGATGAATGACTTGAAAGAAGTGGGAGATCTTTGCTGGATGGAGAGCTGCTTGGAAAGCCCTCAATCTGAAAAAGAAAAGTGTATTTATGACAGCATCTAAAACGGGGATACACACCTCACAGTACAAATAAAAAGACAGTCACTTCATCTGAAAAGTTTACAATCAAAATTTAAAAAAAAAGACAACACAAGAAAGCAACAAAACATGGACCTGAGGCAAGGTATTGGGGTGCAGCGGTTTGGGTTGTGACCTAGGACAGGAGGGGGATTGTGACCTGGAGCAGAGGATTGGGGTGCAGGATGAGGTCAAGAAGGTAGGGGGGCAAAGAGCGGGTGTGCCAAAGGCAGGCTCTGGCTGGGAGACTTACCTGTTTGACTCCTGACCAGCAGCCTTCTCAGGCAGACTCCCTGCCTGCTCCACCCCTACATTGGCTGCAGGGGCCATGTGGTCTTTGAATATTTAGGAGCCTGAGGGGAGGAGAGGGCTTTGCAAGCTGCCTGTTGATAACTAGCAGCTCCCATTGGCCAGAAACCAGACAATGGGATTGTACTAGAGGCAGCACGTGACGCCTCTCCCCATGCCCACAAAGCTCACAGGGCCTGCAGCAGCAGCTTTTCTTGCTGGCGTGTGGGGGGCCTGAGACTCCCCACTGTTTCCATGGGCCAAATTTAGCAGCTTGGCAAGCCAAATCCAGTCCATGGGCCATATTTTGCCCATCCCTGCTCTAACATCTAGCAGAGACCCTTCACTTTCAGAGAACCCTATACTACAAACACCACCACCACAAAACCAAAGCAGATCAATATGAGATTTTGGCTGAAGTGATGTATTGAAGAGATAATGTCAAGCATCCCATTTATCACAATAATGCTAAATGTACATCAATGAGATTTAATTGCTAGCCTTAATTAGTGAGTGACCTATGTAATCTTATTTCTCATAACAAACGTGGTTGAGCCTTAGCAGTATGTGAATGGGAAACTGATGAAAAATACAAGCCTGCTCAAGGAATGGTGTGATGGACCACACCACAGGTTGCTCTTGCCAGGCCAGTCTCAAGGTATCCTACCACATGGGGGGGAGAGGGGGAGAAGGGGCCGCTCCAGATAAGCTGGGCCCACTGCCCAGCTGTACTAGAGCAATCCGCTGCCTCTGTTAACCAAACACTAACTAGTTAACCACAAAACCGGGATTTGACATCCCTAACTGATGCTCAGTAGGCGGTTCTCTTCACAGAGACATTTCTTATCTAACACTCCATGTCAGAGTACTAGACTAGAAATGACTCAGTGAAGACTTCTAGAACACATTGTAGCAGGAGGTGCTCAACTATTGTACTAATTTCCTGTGTTAAGAAAGATACTATAGCACTTTCAGTAAAAGTTGGTGTTGATGCCATTGCCCTGGCTAAATTGCAGCCAAGGTATTTCATTCTGGGTCCCTAAATTCTATTTTAATTCTACTGCATGTGAGAGTCTTCACTAAGTGCCCTAAAACTATTACACAGAGCCTGGGTGTCCAACACACTAGCCACAGGTGAATATTTGGCTTGAACAAAATGGCTATTTGGCCGGTTGAGTGTGACACAGCTCAATTTGCATAGCTTATAAGCCCTGCTGTGTAGATGCACCCACAGTGACCCACTAGATGGCACTTAAACACAAGATTTCCCCTTTTTTTCTGGAAAATCCTTGGTAGAGTTCCACCGTGCACATAAATGAAGATGTTTAAAAGGAGGATACAGAGTTCTGATGCCCTAAGACGAGGTGGGGAACCTCAGGCCCAAAGGTCAGATGCGGCCCCAAGCTTGCCTGGATCCATCCCCCAATACTCAAAGCCCCTCCAGGATTGGGGAGCCCACGCTGGCGCTTCAGCTGGCCCGGAGCACACAAAATCTACTAGCCTGGGGCCCCTTAGGGCTCTGGTGTGGGAGGGGAATATGGGGAATATCTTTCTCCTTCTCAGCTGGGGACTATGTCAGTGAGGGTTGGATTTTTTGCTTCTCACTTGTGTGCAGCCCCCAACTTATTTTTCTGGGGATCAATGGCCCTTACCCAAAAAAGGTTCCCCACCCCTGTCCTAAAACATAAAAATCTAGGGCAAGTGGCCACAAGTGGTCCTAAGGTACAGCGACTGAAGATCAAATTAATGCAGTGGAGCATAAAGTGACAGTTCTGGTTAAGTAGAGAAATAGCTGGGGGGTCAAACCTGCACCGGAGACTCCATTTCCACCTCCACGCGTTTCTTCAGGATAGATTTTTTGGGCATGGATGGCACTTCATCAGGTCTGTATAAGTACCGAGTCTCAGAAGACTGCAGTGTGCTAGTCAAACCAGGGATCACACATCCACTGCCAGACAGATCATGGTTCAAGTTTCTGCTTCTTTCTTCCTCTTCTCTTTTCCTCCTTGCACGATCAAGCTCCCGGAACTCTTCACCCAGATATGATGGGCTTTGACTTCGACTGCGGCTCCGTCTGCGATAATTCCGTGTTCCCAATGTGAAACCATGATGATCTCCACTCATGCCACGCATTTTCTCATCCTTGTCATACCGAGGGCGCTTTGCTTCTCGCCCTCTTTCCTCTGGTCTTGGTGGGTAAGAGGGTTTCCTCAGTTTATCACTATCCCTATCAGGTCCCCTTGGCAATTCTTCACGATGACCATACTGTGGACTGTAGTCTGACCGGTGGAGGAATACATCCCTATTACGGTAGTCCTCATCATGTCTCGTTATGTAAGGACTGGAAGAAAGATCTTCATGAGAGGGATATCGCTCAAGGCCTCGAGGGCATGAGGGGCCTCTGGTAAATATTGGACCATCAGCCATGTCATCCCTGGTAAAAGAGGCACATGTTGTTAAACCTAGGTCAGTGAATCAGAGTAAAAGTTTTTCAGTCTCTTACTCTACAACAGTAGCAAGATTTCATATTGTATTCAGATGGTAGCATTGAATTCATGGTATAAGTGAAAAGCAGCACCTCAGAAACTCAGAAAAGGACCACACATTATATATCTGCTACTTCACCCCCTCCTATTCATTCTTAAATACAGAAGTCCAAACACAACCCATATGGTAAAAGGATGGCCAAGATTTCATACAAGGAACTCATCAAGCAATAGTACAACTGTAGCTTTGTAAAGGAAAAAGGCTATATACGTGGTTTCTAAATTACATTAATACAAAGTAAGGCCACAAAAAAACTCTTCCCTTCTACTAGGCACTCTGGTTGTGTTACATAGGCATTATTCAGCAAAATTTAGCTTTGCATCGGACACACAGCCAGATTATAAACTGGTTTAAAATCTGCTATGTAGGTTTACACTAGCTGAAGATCTGGATCATGAATTCTAGCCAGATTTTGTACATGAATTATCAGTGAACATATTTCTAGTGTACAAGAAAAGATGCTCTGAAATATTTTCACAACTTCAAGACACCAAAGCAATAAAGTCTGTACTTAGTAAGAAAACCTCTTCTTTGTGCTAGCCTCAGTTTAGAGTATAAATTTTGAAAATTGAAAGTATACATTTTGTATATGTTGATTGTTAGTACAATACCAAATCAGCATCTTCTTTGGTAACTGTTCCCTACTAACACTCTCCAGTGCAGGGCTGCCCTCTTTCAGAATCCTCTCCCCCAAGTCCCCCTCCAACATGCCTTTCTGAGACCGGCCTTTAATAGAGCCAAGCAACTGCCCCCCTGAACTGGCCATTTTGCAGTTAGAAACTGCTGGATGTATTGCTATCTCTTCAATCTAGTAAGTGCCTGGGAAGCACTGGGAGCCCAGAGCCTGGTGAGCACTCCCTGATTTTCTCATTTCTCTCAGTGGGATTCTTGTAAAACACTGCTAGGTACAACTTACTTTATAAACCAATATTTGACACAGTGAAATTATGCTACTTCGGCAAAAATACTGGAAGCAAAATGAAACTGGAACAATGGTCTGGGGAATCCCAGAACTTCTTCCCAAAAGGTGCACATGAGTGTAGTCTTCAATAGTACGAAGGTGTCAGTAGCAACTACTCCTTCAGTAGCATTAAGGTTGCGTTCAGGTTTCTAGTAAGTGTGATTTAAGTCCCTTTTGAGCATGAAAACAAATACTGATGTTAGCCTAAGTTCTAGGGTACTTTTTTATGAAAGCATGTCATGTGACACCTTCCAGAGATTTAGGGATGGTTTTTAACTGCTTCGAATCCCTCTCCTAATAAGAGACTTAGTTCAAATTTTCAAGAGGTAGCTCTAAAAGTTTCATGCATTATGTAGTTCCTAAATAAAAATATTAAAAAGCAACTAACTTGAGGATTTACTTGCCCTTTAATTTTGCTTCTATGAAGAACTCATCTTTCAGGATTCTCATACATTACATGCACCAGAATCATGAGAAATTTCCTTATGTTTCAGTACTTTTGATTATCTGAAGTATATATAGGGTAGCTTGAGGGGGTTGCTATACATCATTCAATCTCAAGTGCCCAAACATTCTAGCTAGTTCCTTTCAACAGGAAAGGAAAGTGCCCCCATAAGCTTCTAATGAAACAAAAAGAAGAGGGAAATGTCTCCTTTGAGTGATTGTCATGCCATATAAGGGATAGATAAAGGATATATGATTGTCTAGACTAGTGTTTCTCAACCAGTGGTATGAGTACCCTTAGGGGTACTTGAAAGAAGTCTGAGGGGTACGTCAACAACTGAAATTTGTAGAAAACTGAATTTTTGTTATAAGTTTTACAGAGTTTTATTATTTTTGCTGCCTGGCTACGATTAAGTTGTTTAAACAAACGTGTTGCAATGGTAGAAAAAAAACTGTGTCTGAAAACTTTAGGTATTGGAGGTACTTACTTTTTTTTAAAGGGGTACTTTATATAAAAAGAAAGGTTGAGAAACACTGGTCTAGAGCAGTGGTTCCCAAATGCTGGTCCATGGACTGCTTCCGGGCTGCGAACTGCTGGCTTCCAGGCCGCTGCAGCTCTGGGGGCTGAGGTACACTGCCCTGTGCCTCTCCTCCCACCACAGCTCTTGGGAGAGGCATGTCCTGCATTGGGCTGGGGTGGTGTCTCCTCCCAGATGCGGAAAGTTTGCTGCATGGTGGGAGGGCCATGCGGAGCCACAGCACAGCAGCCTTAGATCAGCCATGACCCGGGCAGCAGCGCAGAGCTAGGTGAGGGGGATGGGCAGACACTGGGAGCGCCAAAGGGGTTCTGAGAATGGGGGGCAATGGGGGCAGGGCTGGCATTGGGGGGCTCTGGGGACAGGACTAATATTGGGGGCTGGCACTGGGAGGGGATCTGGGGTGTTGGGTGCAGTGGAGATCTAGAAAAAGGAGGCTGGCACTGGGAGATCTGAGAGTGGGGGGGCTTTAAGGGGCAGGAGGCTGGCATTGAGGCATTTGGGAGGGGGAGCTTGCACTGGGGGACTAAGGGCAGGCAGCTGGCACTGGGGGGAGTTGGATGCAGGGGATTCCTGGGATCAGTGGCTGGGTCTGGG